ACTAGGATGTTTTCTAATTTGATATCACGGTGTACAATGTGTCTCTGGTGGAGGAAGTGAACCGCTGACACCACCTGCCGGAAAATCCCTCTAGCCTCCTCCTCCTTTAGACAGCCCAGTGCCTGGAGGCAGCTCTCCAGATCTTCTCCTGCCACATACTCCATAATCAGATAAGAGGTTGTCAGTGTGTCAATCATGTCAAAAAATCGAACGATGTTCCTGTGTTCTAAAGACTGAAGGATGTTCACTTCAGTACTGATGTCAGCCACTCTGTTGGTGTTTTTCTCAAGGACCTTGACAGCCACTCGTGTATGTGTTGGAAGGTGGCAGGCCAGCTTCACCTCCCCGAAGGAACCACAACCTAGAGATGTTAACATCCTGAAATCCTTTTCAAGAATGTCCTCATCCATGTGGCTGCCCATGGTGTTCTGATCAATTTCAACCACCTTATCTTGTGGACAATTTCAGCCCCACACAATGCTAAAAGAAAAAGATTAATGCAGTTTAAGAAGGGGAGGACATAACTTTGGATTCTCTATTATGAAATTGAGATATCCCAAACAATCTAATGATGCTCTTCAAGGATATAAAAATATTGGAAGAACCCAAACCCAAGGCAGTGGATGAGAAATCTTAGGAAAGAACAGAGTTGGTATAAGTAAATTTGGTATGTAAAGGAAAATCCTGAGAATCCTGAAAGAATGATCTGCTCTGTTCACAGATGTGCCACGATGCAAACAAAGAGAGATCAGATGAAAATAACACCAAAAAAAATTGATGTTATAACTGATACAACTACAGTCCAGATGGTCTTTAGGATGTTACAGTATTTATACTCTAGAAAATTATAAAATATGAAAGGAATTCTTACACATGTGTGAATATTGTGTTAAAATAAAATAAAAACACTTAAACACATAAGTCATAAACACCAGTGTGGATTGGCAACAAAATCAGCTCCAAACAAGGCAGAGCCCAGATCTCATGGATTCCCTGAATCATTCAAAGCTTTGCAGAAGAATGAAGACCAGCGTTATAGAAAATACTGCAAGAAAGAAAAAGCAAAGGAACACATCCAAACTCACCCCTGTGCCAGTGTTAGCCTGATCCCACAACCAAGCAAGCTCAACAAATGGAACAAGTGTGAGCTCCTTTCTTTGATGAACATAGATGTGAAAATCATTCATGAGAGTCCCTCATACTTCACCTCCATCTCAGTAACACACTAAAGAGCCTTTGTTCAAGGTCAGAATGGCAGAAGTAACATT